ATATTTTTATAATTAATTATCATGTAATTTTATATATTATAAAACGTATAACAGTAAAAGAAGTAAATTTCGGGAAGTAAATGAAAAATTTATGAAAATTTTGAAAATTTCTTATTTAAATAAGAAAAAAAGCAAAAACGCCGTATACATTTTAAATTGCGCATACATTCAATTTTTTTTTTTAAATTTTGTTTATTATAAAAAATGTTTTCTTTTTTAATTTTTGTTTTTTTTATTTTAGTAATATGTTGGACGGAAGGAAGCTGATTTTTTTTCTTTGCAAATAAATTTTATATTATTTTAGGCATTTTATATTATTCAATTTTTATTATTATTTGTTTAAATAAAGCATGGTCATTTTAGTGTATAATTTTAGAATTTATTATTCCATTTTTCCTTGTATTCCTGTTGGATTTATGTTTTTTCATAAATAAAGTAAAAAGAAAGTTAATTGCGATTGTGTTTTTGAAAATATGAAGAAAATATAATTTTAATAATATTTTACGGAATTTATTAAGAAATTAGTATATTATTCGATTTAATATTTGCATATTTTATTTTTTTCTGGCTATACTTTAAAAAAACAAAAAGTTAAAAGAATAATAAAATTTTGTAAACGAATATTATTTAAAAGATTAAATTAATTTTTTCTTTTCATAAAGCTTACAATTATTCAAAGTATTTGTAAAGTTTTAATAAAATATAAAAAAAAAAAATTATAAGTAAATGAAATTTTTTTTAAATACAAGAGTAATGTTGTTTTTTGAGCATTTTCTAAGCAGTTGTGAAAATTGAAAATAATTTTTTTATTTTATTTCAATACATTATTTTATATAGAAAACTTTTTAAATATTTTAAGCGAATTTATAGATTCTTTATAAATTTTCTGATTATTCTTTATAAATTTTCTGATTTAATTATATATAGCGAATGATAACTTTACATAATGAACTTTTTGCATTTGAAAATAGTGAAGCATTTAAAAATTGGTTTTAAGAATTAAATTTTAAATTTTAATAAATTAATATTGAAATTTAGAAAATTTAATAAAAAATTATGAGTTAATAAAATTAAGAATTAATTAAAAATATCAGAAATTTAACAAAAATTTCTTAAATAAAAAAAATATGCTAGTCTCCTATAATCAGTAAAACTGTAATCAATAAAAAAATGAGTCAAAATTTAATAATATTTAATTTAAAATTGATATGTTCGATAATCAGAAAAAACAATTAAATGCAAACATTTTGAATTTTAAATTAATAGTTTGATTAGTATTTTTGTATTTAAATATAATTTCATTATGTAAAATATCATTATAAAATTTAATTTGAAATGATTGCGTTGCTTTTTATTAAATCTTTTAAAAATGGCAGTAGTTTTTATTTAACAATTATATAATATCATTTATGATAAATTCAAAAAATTGGGATTTTCAAGTACATATTATAAAAAAAAAAAAAATTAAATATAATATCTGTTTCATTTTTTTTTTAAGTTTTGAGCTAAAAATAGGCTGTTAATTTGTTTCAATAGGATTTATAATTTTGTATAAATATACAAATTTAAGATTTAACATGTTTTATTAATTTCAATTTCAAAATGATTTTTTTTTTGTTTGTTTGTTTGTCTTACTTCATTTTTGTTTTTTGTTAATGTATCGTATATATAATATGGTTTATGTAAAACAGCGATGGGAGCTTTGCATTAAATTATTACGGCAAATTGATTAATATTTATTTAGCTTATATATGTTTTATATTATTATATTTTTATATAAAATTTATATACGTAATAAAGAACATAATATTATTTATTTATTTATAATACTTTGGAGCCTTTTCGTTCATTTATAAAATTATAATAATTATAGTTTCAATATATACATACATATAAAATACTGATTTTATATAGATTTTATTTAGATTTTCTAGAGTTTTTGTTGACCTTATAATGAAATAATATTAATAATTAAAATGAAAATTGAAACTTTTATTATTTTTAAGTTAATTATTTTTTGATTAATAAATATTTCATCATATGACATTTTATATTATCTCACATTTAGGTTATTTTTTTTTATAGTTCAGCATTAATATTATAGGACATTATATTAGATAAATTACAATTTTAAAATTGTTTGCTGAAGTTAGTAATTTTTTTTTTTGAAAATATGCAATTCCTTTTTTTATATTTTGTTTTCTGTTTTTTACTTATTTATGCAAGTAGTTATTAAATATTTTATTTTTAATATAATATCATTTTATGTGTGTATCGTATAACGTGATTTAAATATTACAATATGATGAAATATATTATTAATGAAAAAATAAGTAATGCTCCTAAATAATAATAATTTCTTTGTTATTAGTTAAATTTGTAATGATTATAATGGAATAAGATAAAAATAAATTTTCGTAAAATTATCGTTTTCAATCAATAGTTTCAAAATATTTAATTAGCTTAAAAACAAAATACAAAACTATAACAATAAATTTTTTAAAATATAAAAATTGGGATGACAAAATTAAGAATTCATATTATTTATGGATATAAACTAAAATTAAATTGTAGTTTAATATTTAAAATTAAACTAAATATTACATAAATAATGTACATATATATATTTATATATATATATACATATATGGCTGACATACATAATAAAGATAAAATAATCAACAATAAATAAAATTAAAAATTGTTAAAAAATTAAAATTAAAAAAAAAATTATTTCATAAAATAAATATTTAAACTTAATAATTAATTATACATATATAATAAAAATATTTTATATGCGAAATATGTATAATGTTTGATTTTTATATAATATAATAATATTATGTGGATACTTTGATTGTTTTGTGTTTTTTTTTTCTTTGTTTTCTTTAATATAAAAATGTATTCATGATAAAATTTGATATATATTTAATAATTTTATGCATTATCATTAATTAAAGTATATAAAATTAAATTTAAATACATAAATTTAGATTTATTTAATTCAAAAGTAAATAGAAATTAGTTAAAATTTTTTAAATTAATTATTTTAAATTACATAATTAATAATTGTTAAAAATGATAAAGCAAATTCTTAATAATTATTAATTTTAAAATTTGTTAAATCAAAACGGAAAGAGAATAACTTTATGCAATTATGGCAATCATATTTTTTTGACATTATATTTATAACAATTTATATAATATCTTTATGAGTAAAAATTGGTGTTGCCAGTCGGAAGCAGTACTGGAAAATAACTGCATCAAAGTTCATTAAAAAATCGTGAATTTATTAGTAAATTTTTATAATTCTATTTTAAAAAAAAAAAAAAAATGGAACATAACGCCATTAACGTTCACAGATGAAAGATTTTCGAAAATTCAGTTTTAAATTAAATTTAGTTTTAATATAAAATATGTTCGATAGAATTTTAAAATTTAGCTTGTTCTCTTATAGATTTTTACCACACTAGAAGCACATTTGAAAAAGTTTTTAAAAATATGTTAAATGTTGCATATTTTAAATTAAAAAAAAAAATCATATAGAAAATTGTAAAATATTAAAAATTTGAAAAAGGAAACTAGTTAGTTTCTGTTTAGATTTAAGTTTGATCTGAAAATTTATAATTATCGAAAATCCCTATATTATCCGGAATTTTTAAAAATACGAAATAAATTATTGTGGGTTCAAATCTATTAAATTTTCAATTTTCTATTTACTTTAATCAATTAACATTTCATTTTTAATATCATTATAAGATCTTATATACTTTAATTAATAAGTATACATAAATAATATATGGGTATCGTATTACATAAGTTATATAGATATATTTAATTTAATTTTATTACTATAATATATTATGTATATATATATTCTTTTTTCTGAAAAATTTTTGACTAGAATACTTAACAAATATTACTAGGCGTTTTTAAGAATTATACATTTAAATGGCAACATTATTTTATTTTTTTTTATACATTTTTTTTTTAATTTTTTTTTCTTTTTTTTTATTTTAGTTTTTCGTAAATAAAATTTTCAGTCAACAGTACAAGAAAAAACACGCCTAACTGATTATTTAAATGCACAGTGATTTTTTTTTTTGTTTTGTAATTCTTATAATTTATTTATTTTTTGTAAATTTTAAATTTTTTTTTTTTATGAAATTGTGATTAATTAAGCTTATATAATAGGATCTTGGTATATGCAAAAAATTTATTTTTGATCAGGGAAAAAACATTTTTTAATGTGTGTGTGTGTGTCTGTGTGATAAAAAACAACAAAAGTTTATTTTGTATGACAAGAATTTTTGTTTTTTGTTTTTTTGCATTAGGAATAACATTGAAAAATTGTTTTTGAAAATAATTTGGATGATAAAGAGTAGGAATTTTATGAAGGAGACGACCATTTTGTGAATATATAATTTTATATTATTTATGTATAAATTTAATAATATAACAGAATTTTTTATTGTTATATTATATATTAAATAATATTTAATTTGAAATAAAGCAATAAATATTTTAGGAAAATTTTGTAAGAAGTTTTTTTTTTACAAAAAAATATTTGTAATACTGTTATATATTTGATTATATTTATTTGTTATATAAGCAATGAGTAATTTTTTCCTTATAAAATGCGTAAATAAGAAGAAAATATTTAAAATATTGTAAATTAATTTTTTTTTTTGTTATTTAATATTTGTCGATCATATTTTTAAATAAGTTTGTAATTATTGTTTATAATAAATCTAATATTTAAAAGAATTTGATTACTTAAAGCTTATACGATATGATTATAGAATAAAAAACTTTTGATTAAATTATTTAAATTGAAAAAATAGCAAATTACAATTTTTATTTAATTGAAAAATTTATAAAAAAAAAATCAATTGTAACTATAAAATCTAACAAATATTTCAATGTTATTCATTTAAATTTAGATAAATTTAATAAGGTATCGTAATTGTTTTTTTTTTTTTTTAATGTGAATTTTTCTCTTAAATACGAAATTGAATAAAAAAAGAAGGCATACAAATGAAAATTTAAATATTAAAAAATTGAAAATAGTATTTTTGTACCTATTAATCTACGATTTTTTAAATATTTTTTTTTGCGATATTCAAATTATTGGGTGAAATGGAAATTTTTTTGAATGTTGAATGGATGCATATTTGTTTAATTTTTAATCTTTTGTTGTTTTTCGTATTAAAAAAATTTTATTTTTTAAAAAATTGTTATTTTTCTTTTTTTAAATTTAATTTAATTTTAGTTTAGAAACTTAATAAAGAAAATTTTTTTCGTTTTGGTAATTTTTGTTTTTTTCTTTGATTCTTTTTGATATTTGATTTTATTCTGTTTGTTAATTTTTTTTTAACAGATCACTGCAAAGTCGCGAAGCCACAATTAGACGATCTTTATATCCTTCATTCCTATATAAGATGTTTTTTTTTGTTTGTTTTTTTTGTTATAGAATTTGTGAGGGTCTCAGTTTCAGTTTTAGTTTTTTTTTTTTGTGTTTTTTTGTATATTTTGAATTTTTATTTAATACTTTACAAAACTTAATGCTTTATATTTTTGCTTTTTTTTTGTTTTTTTGTTTTTTGGTAAATTACATAAATTAATTTTGCTTTAGTTTATATTTATTATGAATATTAACATAAACTAGACTTTTGTATTTATATATTTTTTTTTAATTACATAATATTTATATATAATATGTATATATACACAATAGCTTTAACTAAGCGTTTATATTTTTAACTTATATATGAGTTTTGTTTTTTTTTTAATAGTTTTTGTTTCATATTTTGTTTAGCTTATTTTTTTTATGTTTTTTTTTGTTTTTAATTTTAAACTGTTATATATTTCAATTGACCACATCATCGTATTACATACATTTATAATATTAATAATTCTATTAAATTCAGATATAAGTTTCGTCCTTATTCAATACATTTTTTTTTAATTATCATTTTAGTTTAAGTGTCTTTTTTTTTGTATTTTAATTTAGTTTAATATTTTTTTTTTGTTTTGTTTAATTTACTATCAACTTATTTATTTATTATATTTGTTTTGGTTTTTTTTCTACATTTTATAAACTTAAGCATAAGATTCACTTAAATTTTCGAAAAAATATTCAAAATCTGGATCATTAATATTAACTAATTCTGGACTAGCTGGTGGCATTGCCACATTACGATATTGTTCTTTAAATGTTGATAGTATTTCGCGTATCTTTGCAATGATCTCTTGAACTCAAGCGTTTGATTCCTAAAATAAGATAAAATGATTATTAAAATTAAATTAAAATTTTATTGAGAAAAGGATTTTGTTTAACTGCTAAAATTAAATTTCTACATGGGAACAATTAAATTTAAACTTCATATTTCACTCAATCAATTGAAAAACATAAAAACTTAGAAAATAAAGAACTCTCAAACACCAATATTATTATTAAATTTGTTAGAATTTCTTAATCTAAAAGGAAAACAGATCGTACCTTTAAATTATCAAAATAATGCATAATCTGTTCATAATCCATATCCAAATCATCAAGACCTAAACTTTCTCCTGGGCCAATATCACCATCTGACGTTGTAGAGAACATAGGATTACCAACTACAGTTGCTCTTTTAATTTGATGTTTTCTTATTTTTTCTTCACCGGGTGGTGTAATAAAACCCCCATTATCATCAGAACTTGATGTTGTTTCACCACTCATAGGGACGGGAGTTTCTGATAATTGTTTTTTATGTCTCCTTTTTACTTCTGGGATTTCTTCTAAAATTTTATTTTAAATGTTTTAATTTCAGTTTAAATAAAAAATTATTGCTTTACCTATTTTTATTGAATCGCTTTCACGTTCTTTATTTGTTTTAATATCATTTTGCGTGCATTCTGCTGTTACATTTGATTCTTCAGCATCACGTTTTGGAGTTAATGAATCAAATTGGAATATACTTTTTTGTTGTTGTGCTGCATTTTCAACTAATCTTTCTGCCATATGCATATCTTTTTTCTGAGTTGGAGACTCTTCATCATTAGATGGGCTAATTTCTTTTGGTGAAAATGTTTGTTCTGGTGAATTTTGGTTGTAGAATGCTTTGTTTAATTGTTCTTGCGTGAAACTTAAACCATGCTGCTGTGGCTGTTGTTGATGATGAGTATGTAATTGTGGTTGAGATGTAGATGGGATTTGTTGTTCTTGGGGTCTATCATACGAACGAATCATATCAATGCCTCCATTTACTTGTGATTTACGATTATGAATATGATTCGAATTTCGATGATGCTTATGATGATGGCGTTTTTGAGCTACAGGTGGTATTTGTTCCTAAAATAAAAGAAAAAAAAGTTTTGGTGGTGTTCAATTTATTTTTTATTTAGGAGTATACCTTTTCAATATTTCCATTATTGCTACAATTATTGTTAGTGTTATTATTAGCAGTTACACCAATATTTCTATGAGGTGGCACTGGTGGTTTATATTCAATTTTGTTTCCGTTTTGCCCATGACGATTATGTGGGGGTAACGGTGGTGGTAATGTATTATTACTATAAGAAAAAGGAGAGTGTCATAATTTGTAATTAAACAAAATAAGATCAAATATAATACTTTTCTCTGATTTCGTTTTTATTGTATGTAGTAGAATTAATATTATTCTGATTGTTCATGTGGCACAAGGGTACATGCCGTCCAGAATTATCAAAACTTGTGATGCGATTTACAACATCATCTGGATCTGAATAATTTATATTCATCGGATTACTCGTAATACGAATTCTTGAATCTAAAATTACATATTTTTGAAAATTAATACATTTATATTTCGAATTTATTTCATTTCTAATACCTCTAGGATTTTCAAAAATATTTCCGTTCATTGAGTCGTGGGCAACTGATGAGCGATCCAGAGTTGATCTTCCAAGCCACACCCAATCATGAGCGTTTGTTGTTGATTCTCTAGGTTTTCTCGAATCTCTTAAAAGTCCACTAGTTGAAAGTAAATCTTTTGCTCCCCCGACGTTGTCCAAACCCGATTCAATTGTAATGGGCCGAAACTTCGATGCATAGACAACGCATGAAATCACGAACACGATAATGGCAACGCAAAATGCGGTTAAAAGAACATACATTCCAATTTCCATTGATGTCATATCATGTGGCCCAGGTTTATGCCGCATTCCATCTATTGAGGTCATACCTCCCCTATGTTGTCTAGCTTGCACGTTTGGCTCGTGATTTCCTTCATCTTTTAACGGAATTCCTATAATTGTAAAAAATGGTTTGAAAAAGGTTCACAAAGAAGTATTTTAAATAAAGAATGCAATAATATTATACCAATTATATCATTAAGGTCTCCTGAGTCTCGTAAACCTTTTCGATCTCTTCCTAATATTCCATCATTTTGTACAGTATCTGGTTTGGCTGCATTATCGCCAGTATTAAAATCAACCTGAACAGAAGCCAGAGCACTTGCCAAAGATCCGGGAGCAGATTTAGCTTGCTTAGACGCAGGTATTCCACGTCTTAGACGACATTCTTCTGACAATAATAATGTTACTCTTAACAAATCACCGTTTCCTTCGCCAACAGCAATAACACGTGGATGATGTGAAGCCAACATCGGAGCAAAAGCTACAACTTCAGAATCCAAGCTTTCAACAAGCAGGAAGTAGTCGTCAACTGATACATCTCTGTGAAAAACATTTAAGACAATACTTAACTTGAAGCATGTAAAGCGTGAATTTTTATAATTACCTTAAAGGTGTTCGAGCTCCATCCGAAAACTCCAAATCAATATCTAGTAAGCCTTCTTGGTATTGGGCTGTTAAACGACGTGTAACTGAAGTTTCAGCAATATATCCATTTTCAATTGCATTGTCAGGAGTTATGGTCAATTGCAATCCTGAAACCACCCGTACGATTAGTCTTGTTAAAGTAACTTTATCACTTCCAACTCGAATTTCTTTAGCACCAATTACACGACCAGTGATTGGTGAAAGAACCTTAAATTTTAAAATTGTTTTGTAAGTTTTAGAATAAATTTTGCAAAGATAGGTTCTTTTAACAAACCTGAACATCAGTTCGTCCCATCGATTTTCCCTGAAGGATTCTTCCTTTAAGTGTTGCAATTTTCGGATCAGCAACCCTTAAAAGTGGCTGCACTAAATCTGTAACACGTAATCCAGTTCTTCTTGAAATCAAATAACTAACACGTCCAGAGTTCTGTTGGAAGTTATTTTAGATAATTATGGTAACAGTAATTTATTAATTGATATTGTCGAAGATATATTTGTTTACCTGATCCATCGCTAAGAATCTTGCATAAACTTCAACCGGGCTTTGTTGATATCGAGCTCTACAAACAGTTTTTTCAGGACCTAAAACATTCATAAAATCATCTCCGTGATGATTCCAACCGTATGCTCTTTTACGTCGACGATTTCCTTTGCCATGACTACAACACAATATAGTACAAATTAATATTTATTATTCTTCATGACTATATCAGTCTACATTTACCCATAATGTTGATCTTCTGGAACTTTCCAACCTTTAACTTGTGATAATCGAAAATCGGAAACATATACTTCCAATGGAAATTCTGGCATCCATACAATGAATTTTGCTAAACCAATATAAGTTCCATACTTTACAATAATAGAGGCATTTGATGAGCCTCGAATTTCAGATCCGTCTACATATACTGAACTACATGATGATGAGACCTATTTTAATGAAAATATTAGTTTCTTTTATTATTGATAATTGTTCATAAACATTTAATGTCACTCATAGAGTATCACAGACCTTTATAACACTTTCGTCTTCTGCATGACAAGAACTTTGCAACGTTACATCAGCAACTTTTCCAGCTTGTGATACAATAAAAACTTTCATTGCTTGTGAAACTTGTCGTCCTGTTAGTACGGCTGTATTCATTAGTTCCCAATTCTTAAATTTAAATTAAATAATAATTTCAATTAAAAATTCCTTTTCAAAAACTTTAAGCAATACCTTTGCAATTGGCAGAACAGCTTGGATATCATCTTTGTTAATCTCTAGCTTAGCAATTAGCTTTTTTCTCACTTCTTCAGGTGTAGCTCCTGTACTTTCCAATGATGCGTCTTTTAATTTAGGACCATCATATGAATAACTTACAGACCAAATAATCTTTCCACCATCCCAGTTTTCTTTTGTATCATTTGCAACTTCTAATAACCAAGAAAATATTTCCGTAATCCTATACATGTAATAAAATTTTTTAAGTTAAAATTTTATATTGTCATTGTTTTAATAAGTCAAATTGAAAATTTTATTGTAAAAGAACACTTCTTACTTATTATTATTATTGTTACTGCTAGCATCAATTTCTATATCTTTAGAATCGCCATCAACATCTTGATCTTTTTTAATTGCTGTAACAACAGCAACTGTATGTTTCGGATTATCTTTTTGAACCTCAATACTCCATTGATCAGATGTAGCTGTTGCTCCAAGAATTTTTAAACCAGCTTTTACTCTAGCACGAACAGTAAATGCTCCAATATTTTGATCTGGTTGTTGTTGTAAAAATACTGGTACATGAATTTTTGACATTGGATATAATGTTGGCTGTGGTATTAAAAATGTTAGTGAATCATCGGCTCTTAAATCTTTATAAGCTGATTGTGCTGCAACTAAGGGAACTTGTGCAAAAGATGTTAGCGGTTGTATTTGTACTTTTGGTTCACATAGCTCAGGATTTTTTGTTGGTGGCTCAAAAACACTATATGAAACTTGAACTAAACGTTGGGGAACTTTTGGTGGCATTGAACCATTTGTTTCTTTTTCTGGCGGTGGAAGTTGTGGCCACCAATTAGATGGTATTATAACCTATATGATACATTAAATATTTTTGTTTCAAATTATGATCAAAAATTTTTGTATTAACAATTACCTCAGCAACACAAACTCCATCCTCTCCTTCAGGCATACAACGACCTTTTAAAGGTTGTTTACTTGTTAAACCTACATGAAGTAATACACAAATTTTTTGACGTTGCAAATGACCTCCAGGATCAGCACCAGCATGAAATAATACTCTTAAAACTGGTGAATCTCGGGGTATTGAAGTTTGAACTAAATGTGCTGAAATATCCAAATGTAAATTTGATTGTTGTAAATCCATTAGTGCTGCCGTTGTATTCTGAAAGTGAATGTCAATAAATTAAAATTTATATTTTTGATATTTATAATAAAACATACATTTGCATTATCCCCTTGTGATTCGATTACATCCGGTACTATATATCTTGCTGGAACTGTTTGTTTTGTAGAAAATGGTCCATAACTGGCACGTATTGATACTGGTTGAGTTGTTTGTACAACAGTAAATCGATCTGTTGATAATATTGAATCCGATGTAATTTTCGGTCTTGATTGTGATGTTGTTATTTCAGGCGATAAAGGTGGTGATCTCATTGAATGTTTTAGGAAAAATCCACTATCAGCCGTTTCAAAATGTACCTCAACACACAAACAATATCCTCCTAAATAGGCAAGACAAAGGAGAAATAAACAAAAAAGAAATATAAATAATTAGCATTTAAAGAAATAAAGAAAATATAATTATTATACTGTATATTATTAGCATTATATATATGTATTATATGTATTATATATATGTATATATATGTATATATATGTATTATATATGTTTATGAATATGTACAAATAATATGTATTTTATTTGTTTAAACACACATAAGTGTGTGTTTAAATAACTTGATATATTATATAACTTTTATATATGTTTATTATATGATTGTACATATTTGCCTTAAATTTTATCGCATTTTAATGATATTTAAACAATAAGTATTTTATAAAAATGTTGACATCGTTTTTAAATATGGGAGGATTGATGAAAAACAAGGAATTGCTAGGCCAGTTAAATGAGTATAAAATAAAACTAAAAAGCTGCTACATACAATAATAATTATGATAATACTCTTAAAGTAAATGAAGTTTGAATTCAGAGTGTTTTCTAAGATAACGTGATGTGATGATGCATATTAAATAATATCTTTTCTTTGAAAATACAAATAATTTTTTTTTATTTGTTCTTAAATAAGAAAGAAAGAAAGAGTGTTTATTTTTTCTATGTCAAGCATTTGTTTCTGAAAAAAATTTTCTTTTAAAATTTTGCTATGTGACATAGTTCGAATTATGTTTAGAATATGCTCATAGAATATGTTCAACGGGGGTAATATAGAAATCAAATGTATCTTAAAATTAAACTATCTCAGCGGTTTAAATGAATTATAGTATATACCATTATTAATGCATTCAATTGTTCAGAAATGTTTAGTTGTTCACAGTAGGCTTCCTGAGAGTTCTGAAATAAAGTGATAGAATATGCGACAGCAGATATACAAAATAATAGATATTTTACTTTTTTTTTACCATTTTATTAGTTATTAAGTCCAAAATTGGGTTTCATGAAAAGTGTCTTCCTTTTATTAGGTATAGTTTTCCTCAGTTAATTGCACCGAGCAAAAAACCGAATTTTTTATTCAATTAAGTGGGTAAAACACCACAAAAAAAATCGGCTTAATTGAACAATCAGTGCAATTAAATTCAATTTTTATTCAATTATACTGAATGCAAGATAAGTCATAGAATGAGGGCCTTAGACTTTCAGCTCTTTATTTTACAATGTTTGTATATAGGTTATGAGCTTAATTTCACTGTAAATAAAAAAGAAAAACTTTGGAAAACACAGGGTGGTAAAAATTTGAAAAATTTTTTTTTTCAAGTTTAGTTTTTTTTTTTAGTTTACAGTGGTGCTCCTGTTTTTTATCGCCAATTACAAATTCTCACTTTAAATATACGGTAAATTCGAGGTTGACTATTAACATAAAAAAGAGATCATGTCATGTGAGAACACATAAAATCAATAAGAAACATGCTCTCATATATAGATCCATAAAAAGGGGAATATTTTATATTCGGCTATATATTTAGATGCTGATACCAAAGAAAGGGGTTCATTTAATTAGATTATTCAATTAAAGGGTGTGCAATAGTGAATTTTCTCAGTTTGTTTGTTCAATAAAAGGAGAAAATGAATTAAAAGTGGTGCAATTAATCGGGGAGAATTATACTTCAAAATAAGCCAGGTTACAACAATAATAAAGTTAGAACAAACATTAAGAATTTTAAAAAATTAATTTCTGAAGCCATATATGAAATTCACAAAATTTATTTTCGGAAGATTTTTTTTAAAAATTTCAGACAATTGAAACTAATTGAAGGAGTCTAATGCGTACAAATAAATATATTTGATTGAAAAATTAACACATTTTAACAATTCAGTAAAATAGCTAATATGCAACGATTTTACTATCTCTGTTATAAGATCGATATTGAAAAACATTATGTATTCATATCAACCTATTATGACCTATATTCACAATCGATGACAGTTTATTCTACAATCGATTTATAACAAATTTTCTACAAAATGTGTGTATGCAAAAATATGTACAGGATTATGTGTTATACATATACTTGTGTACATTATAAATTTTAGAAAATATCAAAACAATTTCAAATAAAAGGATGAAAATTAGTTTAATAAAAATTTTAGAATTTTTCCTATACTATTTTTATTGTTATTATTATCGATATTACGATAATCAAAAACAAAAAAAAAAAATAATGAAAGAAAATTAGATTATTCTCATTATAAGGATGCTATTCAGGTACAAGTTATGTAAAGCATAATATCCAATATATTTTAATGTAAAAGCATATACCTACATATTAGTATATAAATATATTACAATATAAAATAAGTCACGAACTTGTCACAGTGTTATATGTATATAAATTTTCTAATTTACAGATTTTATCGCCTAAAAATTACTAAAATTCACTGTTTTATCATTAATTTTCATAAATTATTAATGTTGAAAATTCATGCTCTACATTAATATACTCGTATTTTTATAAAGCTATATATAGATTAATATGTTTATATGCATGTACGTATTATTTATATTGTTTTCTGAATAAATTATATTATTATAAGGCAATAAATTATTTATTGGGATTTTTTTTTTAATTTTAATGAATCTTATGCTTTACAAAGGATTTACTTATAAAAATAAAAATTAAGAAGGAAAAAATGTTATAAATATGGGGCTAGACTTTAATTATTATTTTTTGTTGAATATACTAAATAGTATATTATTGTATGTATATGAATAATGTAATAATACGAAATTTTATGTATATATAATGGTAATTCAATGTTTTTTTTTTAATTAAATTTATTAATTTTGTTTAATATTTAAAATTCATTATTAGAGAATATCACTGACATCATTCTTGTTATCGGGTACATAATAATTACATAATTACGATAATTGAATTTTGAAAATAAAATTTTGAATTTCTACTATAAAAAATTGAAATTTTTTGCAAATTTTTTATAGTAGAAGATTTATTTATTTTTCTTATTTGTGAATAATTTTGATTGTCTGAATAATTAATTCTTTTGAAAATAATTCTGTCCAATAATACTGGCTATAGGAAGTTGAGGTAAAAATTGATCAAGTTTATTTTAGCAATACATTAAACTCATACATACATATTTGTGTTAGAAATAATATTAAATAATTTATGATTCTAACAATAACAGGGTTTTGTTACGGTATAATTTAAAATTTAATTTTCATTTTTGAACAATACCTAAAAATATGCAATATCAATGGTTTGAACAGTTTTAATTGCAATGGTTTTCACATTTACTAAATGGTTTGAACTAAATTTAATTTTAATATTAATTTTAAGACCAACAAAATATTATTATTAATATTTAAAATTAAAATATTCATAATTGAAATTATAATATTTACTTTTGAAGTTGATAATTATAGTATTTTACATTTAATATGGTCCCTAGCACCGACTTGTACAGTAGATTATATTGGTTTAAGCATATTCAAAATATAATATGCTTTCTATGATTTTTGAGTTTGGCATGAAGCACAATTAATTTTAATAACAAATTTATGTTGCCAAATAAGCTTTGGAAAATCCTCGCAACAAAATCATCCGAATTATTATTTAGCTACTAATTATACATTATTTTTACAATAGAATAATAAAAATGAAAATAATTTTTAACTTATATAATAATTCCAAAACCAAATTTTAAATTCAAATAACTATTATACAATTTGCATTCTTATAGTTGACATGAATCAAAAATTTAAAAACTAGTTGATATTTATACTTATATGCTTTAATTATATAAACTTAATTATACATACATGTGTATGTAAATATGTACATATGTATGTATAATTATGTGTATTTATCCTTATGTAAATGATGTTAAGATTTTATTCGTTCTTCTTATTTTACTATTTTGTATTGTGTTTAGATTTGTACATATACGTATGTACGTACATACTTAAATTGCATTGCAAAAGCTTTAATAGATCTGAATGTTATTTTTACTTAGTATGCATAATTTTTTTTCCTCATTTTCATATCGCATTCATTTAGAACTGTAAATGAATATTGCATCTACATTATATCGTGTAGAATAGAAAAAAAAATTGGAGGCGTCTATATTGTTTAGTTAGAAAATGTCATACAAAGGGTGTTGAATTTTTATTTTTTTTTCGTTTTTTTTTTTTAACTTTAAATTGACAAATATTTTGTTTAACATCTAGCTAGTCGTCAGATTGAATCTAAAATGAGAAATAAAAAAAAATTAAATCTGTTTTTTAGTTTTTAAATTTTTTTTTTTATTTATGCCCTATGGTTGAGGAAGTGTTGATGGCATATTTTGAAGCATTTTTTTCACACTGTAAGTGGTCTAAGAATTTGAATGAAATTTCTTTTATTTTCTTTTACAATCTTTCAAGTATGAAAATATGTATGCATATAAGTATGTATTTATGTAAGTATATGTAAGAACATGTATACTGGCAATAGAAAGAATGACAAAAGAAAATATAAATAAAAAAAAAATTAAAAAAAATATTAATTTTTTTAAATGAGCCAAATAGAATATTAAAACTTGTCATCTAGATCCAATGATACTGAAATTGAATATGCAAGATTGAAGGAAGAAATTAAGAATTTAAAAATGGTAAAAAATTAAGTATGTAAGTAAGTAGTTTAAAATTATAATTATAAATATTTTCTACGTTAAATCAATTAATATTAGCAAAATGAGATGTTGTAAGACAAACAGCTACACATTATGATGAATATTGTTCCCAGATAGCCTTAAAATTTTTCTATATGAACTAAGAAAATCAATTGGAAACTTAATAATTGATTCAACACAAGAGTACCTTACCAAGATAGAGTTCATTATAACGTAACCTTTCGGAAGTTTTTGAAAATAATATGGCAGTATAGAAGTTATTCCAACAAACAATCTTTCGCCGCATTAATAACAATTCTTTCAGCAACAATTCTTATTTAAAATTTTGATTCAGTCCCTACTAATTTTGGTCAAAAATTT